CCTATGAATGAACGGCCTGAGCACTAGTCGTACATAGAGTTTCCGGAGGCAAGCCATTTCGGAAGTGGATGCCACTCCTGCTTCCCCTTGGACACTTAGGAGTGATAAATTTGTAAGGGTGACAAACACAAAGCTATTTGGAAACAAAGCATGTTGTTACTTCTAGACTTTGAAGAGCTACCTAAACCAATTCTTTATTCACTGGTAATAAGGATCTTTAATTATTTCAAAGAAATAATGTAGTAGATAGACACCCATATATAGACGCAACTTTGCTATAGTGACAAATAAAGCCACAGGATAAACTCCTAGATGAGTACGTGCTGCATCACTTTCTCTTGTTGACATTTTTGTAAGTAGAGCCAACTTACATCCAGAGGGCTTTCAGGAACTGACACCTTGAGCCACAGGGTATGTCTCTCTCCACCCCCTTATCAGCTCTGTCCTAGCCAATGTTGCAGTCTATCAGGTAAAGTCTTATTTTGAAAAGAACAGTAATGATAACATGTTTTTGAACACCATTGTGTTAGTTCTGACTCATAGCAACTCCATGTGACAATATAGAATGTCCACATGAGGTTTTCTTGGATGTAACTTTTACTGAAGTAGGATGCTAGGTCTTTCTCCCATTGAGCCATGAGGAGAGTTCAAATTGCCAACTTTACAGGCAGTAGCTGGGCACTTACCTGTTGTGCTGTCAGCCTTCAGAACAAGACTGTGTATCAGATGGTCTCATCTGTGTATGGTACACACAATCATGCTTAGAGGTGCTGTGTACCCCCTTTTGGGAGAGGATAGGAGCCACAGTAAGTCATTACTAAAGTCCGAACCAGCCCTTCTGTCCTGTGATCTCAGGTAGGTTCTGGAAGCTTCTTCATCTGCAAGGAAATAAAAAAACTGTCATCTGACACTGAATGTAAAAAGCCATGAGAAAACTCTTGGGACCTGTAATCTACTAAACATTTATTTAGAGCATGTCAGAACCCCTGGTAAATTTGAATGCCAGAGACCTGAGCCCTAGTTCTTGTTTCTTTTGACAATTTCCCGCTAAGTCACCCGATTCCTTGGCACTCTGGTTTTCTTAGGTCTTCCGTGTCCATTGAGGTACCTCTTGCTAATTTGCTTCTCTGGATTGACATACAAGTGGCTGAGCTGAGCCTGGCCGTGATGCAGGTGGTGTTTTACATCCATAACAGGCCACTGTCACTGTGGCTGTGTGTCAATCCAACCTCAGTTCTGTTTCTGATTTTTAAGAACAGGTGATCTTGGGCAACTTCTTACACCTGTATAGACACATCCACTTCCTCAATGAACAGCTCACAGTAGTAACTCCTGCCAGGGATTGCTTCGAATATGAAGAGAAATCACTGATCAAAACACTTCAGAGGCTTCTTTGGAATGGAGCAGAGAGGCCATATCAGCGCTCACATCACCGTTTGTCAAGCTGGTGACTGACTAGTCCTTTTCTCACTTCTGCAACTGTGCAATGTACCCAGGGTAGGGAGGGTGCCAGGCAGACAAAAGACAGACGTCTGAATGGCTGCAGTCCCAGCTCAGGAGTCTTCATGTTTTCAGTCCTCCTGGAAAAGAGGGAGGAAATCTTCATGAAAACTTTCTTTTTCATGGGAACTGCTTAATAAATACATAAACAGTTTGACTCGTAGAAGGGATATGCCTCTCTGCTATAACCTGGAACACATTACTGTGAGGATGTGAGGTGAGGCATTAACTCGCTTCAGTTCCCCTCCTCCTCTCCATCTGCTCTGATTCACATTTCGCTTCATACATGACATGAAACTATTAGGCTCTAACCGTGGAAATGGATTCTGAAGAACACTTTATGAGTAAATTCTTTCTCCACGACTTCATATTGACTTGCAGAAAGGATACAAGCAGAGAGCAAAGAGTACCTAAAACCAGCATTGCTGTTCTTTTGTGATATATACTAACAAACTATTTTTTTTCTCTACCTCAAAATCTCTAATTACATCTACAAAATATCTTCTGCTATGTAAAAGAACATAATCACAGGTTCAAAAGATTAGAATAAGAACAACTTTGAGGGCAGTGATCCTGCCCAGTACATCAAAGTACACAGATGAAAATCTTATTTTTATGACTTAAAGAAGACACATAAATATCATATTAAAATTTATTTGTATCAGCATGACTTGAAATGAACAAACCATTTTCTATGACATAAATCATATTTGCTAAGATAAAAACACTTAAAGTGTTGAAATTTGAGTTACAGTAGTCAACTTCCTTTTTCATTTTAACCTTTTACTGTGTTTTATGGCCTCGAGGAGGCTAGGTTTCTCTAACAAACTATTTTTGAGATGTAAAAGAATTGTATATATATATATATATATATGGAGAGAGAGAGAGAGAGAGATAAATCTTCACTGCCTCTGAAAACGCAGGAGGGTCAAGGGTCAGCCATGAGATGGTTCCAATGTCATGGTACATAGCTAGCAGTAGCAACAATTTATATATTTACCTATACATAAGTATATATAAAATTTTACTACGAAAACATATATATGTATGCATATATATCTTCACTCATATATGGAACAGTTTTAGTAAAATTTTTAAATAAAATAAATAATGCAGAAATATATATATATATAATTACGACTGTCCCAGGGTGGACTTAATGATAGCAATATTAAGCTTTTAAGAGTGGAGGGACAGCGCAGGAGAGGAAGACCCTCTATGAGGTGGATTGATTCAGTGACTGGGGTAATGGGGTAGGTATGTCAGAGACAGTGAGACTGACACAGGATAGAGCTGGGTTTAGGGCTGTTGTACATAGGGTCACTGTGAGTCGCAGGCGACTGACGGGACATAACAATAACAGGCAGTGTAGAGAGAGCTCTAGTGGCCTAGTGGTAAGAATCTGCACTACAATCTTGAAGGATCGTGGTTCAAATCCATTAACTGCTCTGTGGGAGAAGGATGGGCGGTCTCCTCCCTTGCGATTAACTACCTCTGAAAACCTGGAGGGTTAACTGTGGGTCAATTCTGAGTTGACAGTATAGGCTTTTCTTTTTGGCAACAAGATTGGAATATAAGGATATAATAAGGAATATAATGTCTGTGTTAGGGAGTTATGTTTTTAACATATGCTTAATTGAACACCCCCTGCACCAGATATGTCAGATCGTCCATCCCTGATCCTAACAGGGACTGGCAAGCCTCGTTGTCCTCATTATCCCACGTCGTGGACTTGGTACCTGACATGCACGGAGGTTGAGTCACTCCAGCGATCAGGAGCACTGGACTCAACAACAGGTCGATCTTTCTGGCTCCTAAGTCTTTGTTCCCCCACGCAAAGGCTCTGGAGGATTCTGAGACAGATCTAAGGAGAACTAGGGAAAGCTTTCAGTTTAATTTTTTCGTTTCAGGACCAGAGAAAGATGCTGAAATTAATGGCAGGTAAATACTCTCCACCAAGGAAGTGGAGACGGGAAAAAAAAAAATTCATGACGTTTCTGGAAGCCACTGCTTGGACCTAGAAACCAAAGCTGATGAATGAGCTAAGACATTTGGAGAGGTGCACGTTTTGGCTTGGCCTCGCTCTAACGTGAACTGCGGGGTAAACAGCCCTAACGCAGCGTCTCAGGCTCCATATTTGTGCATTGGGGACATTGTGTGGACTTTCTGAAGCTCATGTTTGTGAGCTATCTGTCCTGGCTGATAGTCCACTTTTATCTGATAGAGGGAAGGGACAACAGAGACAGAGGCAGGGAGCCAGATAGGAACTGCAGCACGAGCTTTATGTAACAGGCGCGGAAGATGGGGATTCGTGAACCCTGCGGAGAGAAGAAAGCATCTTTCAAAGGTCATTTCACTTAGTTGCCAGACGATCTGAGAACTTTTCTTCTGATGTCTTTCACAGCATCTCAAATGCTCCGCCGCTCGCGGGGTCACCAGGATTTGGAACTTCTGTGAGCCTGACAGACAGTTAGGATCCCCCCTCCAACATCCTCCAATTCGTAGACATTTCTGGCACTTAAGCTGCACCTTGTCGGGCGCCTCCGCAGCTTTCAAAGCACAGGGTGCGCGTGCACAGCTTGGAGAGGAGCCGGTGGCTGAGTGCGCACTGTCCCGGGAGCAGTCACCTGAGCTTCCGAAGCAGTGAGGGCAGTGGCGGCGCGAGGTCCTTTTGTCCTAAGCATTTCCACTAAGGTTTGGCCAACAAATAAAAATATGTTTCTTTTTTGTCTTTGCGCTTTTGGCGTGGTGGTTGGCCTGTCAGAGATGAGGAAAAAAAAAAAAGTAATGAACAGAAACCCACACTGGCCCAGCCGGATGTTTCTGGGCACCCCTGAAATAAAGCCAGCACTGCCCATTTGGGGAGCGTCCTCACCAGCGTGGCAGGTCCAGGCCTTTTCCCCTCAGGCCGAGGACCCCAAGGTGCCAGCAGGCTGGCGGGGCTCCTGTAGCCGGAGGTGGCGGCCCCACGCTCTGCGCCTTGGGAGAAGCGCGGACGCCCTGGGCGCGCTCCGTCCGTCCATCCCGCTGCGCAGGAGCTGCGCCAGGCCGCGCGCGCCGCCCCCGGGGACAGTCACAGTCGGAGCGGCCCGGCTCCCGAGAGACCAGCGCGGCGGCGGGGCGCGGGTGTGAGCACCGGAACCTGCACGGCTGACGCTCGGCCCCAGAGCCCGAGGGCGCGCGCTGGCGAGGGGCGCACGCCGCGCTCGGCTCTGCTTGCTGCCCCCTGGCCGGCGGACCCGGCTCCCCTGCGGCCCCTGGGCTCCGCTGGCCGGGAGACGCCCCCTGGCCCCCACCCCAGTGCCTGGCCGACAGCGCGAGCGGCGAGAGGAGGCGGAGGCGTCGCCGGACTGCCTCCTCCCCGCCCCTCGCCTCCTCCCTGCGCTACCGGAAAGGACAAGGGGACTGGGCGCGGGGACCCCGGCCAGTGAACGCCGGTGTCCCGGGGCCGCCCCTCACACTCGCTCTTTCGCCGTGAACCGGGGCCAGTGGTGCTGCGCATGGTGCTGGTCGCAGCCATGAGCCAGGACGCGGCCCCCAGCGGCCCGGAGCAAGCCGACAGAGATGCCCGCGGCGTGTCCGGCGCCTCTGCGCCCCCGGTGCCCCCGGGCCCGCGAGGGATGCAGCCGCCGCAGCCGCCGCTGCCGCCGCCCCCAGCTGGCCTACCCCAGATCATCCAAAAGTAAGAGGGGGGACGGGAGCGCAGCCTGGGGGGTGCGACTGGGGCACACGCCCCGGGCGCCCCCTTCAGTGACTTCATCTCCTGTCCCCGCTAAACTTAGCTTGTCCCTCCTGTGTTTGAAGTTTTCTGGACGGAGGCGGCGTTATTTATTCTGGCTGTTGGGGAGGTTGAGGAGAGGAGAGCCAAATGGTTTGGGGAAAAGAACTTTGTTTCTCCTTAGCCCTTTTCTTTCTTTCTTCAGGGATATTACTAGCTGGTTGGAACTAAAATAGCTCAACTTGAGGGAGCAGCAGAACAGAGACTCTCTGGTCATCTCGCTGGTCCCCAGAGGCCGCTGGAATGTGTGGAAAGCTGCGCGTGAGCGTGTGCGCGCGTGTGCGCATGTGTGCGCGCGTGAGTGTGTGTGCGTGCGGGTGTGCAAGGGGAATGCCTCTCTGAGCGAACCACCCATAATGGTGGCCCTGTCGTCGCCCAGCGACACTGGGGAGAAAAGGGAGGAGAGAGGTAAAAAACCAGCATGTTTTGCTTTGACTTGAAAGTGCAGACACTTCTCGAGAAGGCCCTGGTGAAGAGTTCGCACCTCTGCAGCCTTTCGTCATGAATGTCCCCAGCCAGATTGGGGCTCAGGTGAACCCTGCGACTTTGCTCGCGGATTTACCAGTGCATTAATAAGGCTGGATGGAGGTGGTCAGCCCGCTTGGGGGCCACACAAGGAAAACATAACACTTGGTCAGCTTTTGTTCGTTCCTTCCAGACTTTGACAGTTAAAGGCCTAGAAGGCTGGTGTGGTTGAAGGTTCTTTATTCTCTGTGGAGTTTACTCAGCGTGAGATGATATCTTCAGAACTAGTTTAGGATGTTTAGAGATTTTGGAGAAACTGAAGTTGAGAGATACTCAAAAGGACAGCAAAATTGATCGACTTAAACAGCGGAAAGGCCCCATTGCTGCTAGGTGGCCACTCTGAGTTACATAAAAAGTATTAACGCTTAGAAGGAGAAAAGATGGGTACAGATGGAAGAAAAGAGCACTTAAGTGTGAATTTTTGAAAACTAGTTCAAATGATAGCAGGAGAGAATCATGCAAAGTGAAATTTGACAGCAAAGAAACCTGTATCATATTTCAGAACAAAATGGTTCCCTATTCCCCACTGGTAGAACCCTAAACCCTCACTTAGGACAACATTTTGCTTTCAGTGGTGGTATTAGATCACTTCCAATAACTAGCAGCTTTCAATATTTTAAAATGAAAATATTTTACAGCATTGTAGTGTGGCTGTTGTTTGCCAAATTATTTTGGCTGCAGTTTTCTAAATACACTTGACAGATTATGTGCATCAGTACTTAACATTTTTTTAAAGTACTTCCTATAAATACAAAACCACCTACCAAAAAAAAAAAAATCTAAAAATTCACTGGTTGAAAGTCACTTTGACCTGTTATTGTTTGGGAAGCATCTGATGTGCTTTATACCCTGTGGCTTGGAATTAGGTGACAAAATGGAGCGTATTGAAATGGCTTAAGTAGGGTACTGTACTTACATCTTGAATTTTCCTGTCATTTACTTTTAATGAAAAGAAATTTAGGAATTTCACACCTGCAGAAAAATCTCTGTTGATGGGGTGCCCGAATCGGAACTGCTGCTCGATTGAAAAAAGAAACACCATTTGGTGGGAAATTGGTTGTTTAAAGTTTATTTTAATGGCTGCCCATACAGTGGATAATTTACTCAATAAATTCATCCCAATTGGAAAGAACATCTTTAGAAATTTACTCAAAAAGAAGCGGCGGAGCTATTCAAAGATGGCCCCATCTGCTGGCAGTCTAGAATGGAGACCTGAAGATGTGTCCTCTTTTCAGGCTGAGCCTGGGTTAGCATTGATGACAGATCGGTGTTCAGGGGCAGGTCCAACGCTGGTGTATGTGCCCCTGGGATTTGATGTTTGTGCGCTTATGTTTCAAAGTCTGTCTTTATAAGGACAGGTTGGGATGGCGCTCCCCTCAGCCCACTGAAATTCCGCTGGAAACCAGGCTTACCATGGCGTATGCCTTACAGGTCCACCTTTAATGCGCTGAAACTCGAGCAGGTTATTTTGAAACTACGTTTGCAGAATTCAATCTGAGCAACCATCTTTCTGTAGTTCCGAGGTGCTGTCCACATCTGCCATCTTGGACAAAGCTTGGCAAGGAGGCTGCCTCCCACCGCAGAGCTAGTCGCTCGGCCGCCTCTTGGTTTGGGAATGTTTGTGCTTGAGAACTTTGGGTGAAATTCTCCTCTAGTGGGACACAGATTAAAGAAATATTCTCTGAAAAACCTGCATGTTTCCTGCTTGCTTTAGCGAAATTGTTATGTAATAACGTGTAAGACGAGAAGTTTTGGTCTTCAAGATGATGGAGAAGGCAGGTTTTTTGCATGTTGCGTTGTGTTTAAGGATTGTAAGATTTTTCTGTTAACTTCTCAATGTCCATGTTTACTGATTTTTCATTCGTAATGGCTTTGGTTTGGGTAAGTTGAATGACCTTAGAAAAAAAAGTCTGTTGTAACAATCATACTAACAGCTGGTTCCTGCTTAAGTACATTGTATCTGGACTGCCATCCATATCCTACTTTTAAATGGCTAAACACCTGAGACGTGATGGACACCCAATCTCATTATGAAGACTGTTCTAACTAGGTATATTCTGTTTCTTCATTATTGCATTCTTAGCTTCAGTTAAGAAACTTCTTTGTCCTGTCCGCTTTCCTTTTGTGGACAATACTGGCATCACCTGTAAGGATTATTAGCTACATTATAGACACATTTAACTAACACCCTGTCTGGTATTTGTGTGGATTCCCTTTGTTATTGTGGAGCTACTGCTGGATATGTTGAAAGTATTTTATTTAAGGTGTTTTGATGACAAGAAATACAAATAACGATGCAAGAGAAGAATTGAGACGAGCTTCCGAAGTTGGAGTAATTTGAGACTATGAAATACATGTTTTCCTCCTAAAGAAAGAAAAAAGAAATGACTGGTATGTGTCAATGGAAGTTTTAATGATTTATTTCCTCAAATACTTCTGTCCAAAACAATTTTATGATTTAAAACAAATTAAGTTTTAATTTCGTGTTTTAAGATCAAAAGCTAATTCTTAATTTCTAGAAAGTATTTGGTGCAGGACCTGTGTAGTTTCACTCTTTTATACGTAGGGTTGTTCTGACTCAGAAATGACTTGGTGTTACCTAACAAACAACAGCATTGATATTTACTCACCTTCACGAACATACTTTTAGGTTGTAAGTTTTAAAACTTTTATCAGAAGGTACTCAGACTGTAGAAAGCTGTGTTAAATGTTGAATCCAGTTGTCAAACTGTCCCACTGTCATGAAAAAAAAATGAACCATACAAGTCACACGTCTTCATGAAATTAACACGTTGGGGATTTTCCTAAATGACCTTATTTGTAGCAAACTATTTCTGGTTAACACATGACATCAAGGTGCGTGTTTTACTTGGCTTATTTTTTTTCCTTTCTAGATTATTTTTTTAATCTGGAAAACTTATTTTTAAGAAGTTATTAATAAACTAATAAATTGCAGTTATAGAAATCAAACTATTTTAGGTTTGGTGTTTGATACCTTCATCACCGGTATATAAGTGTATATGGTTTATGAAAACATAAACCCATCCTTGGCTCCAAAGCTTTTCTTTTTCAGTATACCAACAGCACTGTTCCCCTTCTGTGTTTAGAGAAACCCCCATCCCTGATAGAGTACAGGAAATTGTTATAAGCAACCACTGTGATTTCAGATAAGTTTTTCAGTACCCCGGCCTTTGGAAGGATCTGTGGGAGCGCTTAGGGATTACACTGTAGGCAAGTTATATATGATGTCCACCCACTTTGATGATGAACATGCTGACAATTACATCCAGAATCTTGAGGGATAAAATAAGAATTTGCCGAAAAGGGACATTACCTCACACACCATTTGGCTGGCTTTTTTTTTTGCAAAGAGGGTGGAATTTCTAACATCTGTGTCAGTTCCTAACATCAATTTGAGTCCATTTTAAGGGGAAACAGGGATTTCGTTTTGTTGAAGGAATTTTGAAAATTTTAAACACCATCTCAAACTGCACGGAAGACAAGCATTAGACAGGGGCAAACATCTGATAGGATTAAGCATTTACCCCGAACAGGCCAGGCGAGCAGATAGATTCCTTCTCGAGCACTTGGAAAAGTTCCTTTGCCTTTCTAGAAAGCCTCTTAAGAGTATTTATTTTAAACAGAAAACCTTCCTTGAGAGTTTGCTGTCATAAGTATTTTCAGACGGCAAGTGTGGCCATCAGCTTTGAGTTTCTCTCACATGGCCTGAGAGATCAGTATTATGAAATGTTGTACATTAGTCCCATCAGTCATGGTAAATGGCTGTACACGTGGTGAACATAGAGTTGTTTTAACGCCAGTGCTGTAGGAGGAGAAAAAAGAAAAAGAGAAGTGTTATCACCCCTTTCATTTTCCCAGCACTTATTCTCTGGCTACCTCCTTAACAGTTTATCAAGGTAATAATTTTAAAAGCCCAAGTATGCCAGCTAGAATGTGAACTCTGAATTATTAGGATCTCTTTGTTTGTCCCTTGGTCATCAGTTGGGGAGAAGGGACCCTGACAAGGATCCACTCACAGAGAAATGATACCACATCATCCCGTTTGTTTTTCTCTCTCTGATTTCATTTTTCCTGCCACTCTAGGTTCTTGACTCTAATTTAAACTGGTATTTCCTCTCTGCCCACACCCACTGATCCTTAAGCAAACACACCAGCATAGCTCAGCCCACACCTTCGATGCACAGGACTGCATAAAACTGGGGGGCTTCGTTTGTGATGGTTTGATTATAGGAGAGAAATAAAAATGGACTGAAAGAAACACAGGAGTCCAGAAAAAAAAGAAGCTTGAGAAGGTGAAGTCGAACCTCCAAAGAGAAACTCAGACTCCCCTAAAGGAGTCTCTTGTGCACCCCCAAGTC